GGGAAGTCGCCGCCACCACCCGCGGCTGACTGGACGGCGCTGGCGCCATGGCGGCGAAGCGTCCTACCGCGCTTGCGCAGTAGGGACCTTGCGCCGGACAGCCCCTTTAGCTCCGCCTTCTTGCTCGCTCCACCCCCTCCGCCCGCCATTTCCGTGCTCCTCTTCCTCGGTTCCAGCGCCTGAGTTCGGTCCTCAGGTCGCTTAGTCTTCTCGTGAGAGAGTGAAGAGCACGTGGAATCGCTGTCTTTTGTGTGTGTGGGGGTGAATTTAAAACCTAGTGAGAATGAAATGAGTCCGGAAGTCCCTGCAGAATATCTCAAAAGTACATAATCTCCTGCCTTATCCGTCTTTCCTTTGTTAAGGCTTTTATTACACAAAGTAGATTAATCGCAATCCTTGGTCATGAAACATTGGCATCATTGGTCCATAAATGACTTTTCAGGTGATGCGTATACGTGAGTAACGTATAAATGCACGTACAATGTACGCATACCTCTCACCTCATCCGTGTCCCAAAGATCAGTACCGTCGTATTCATCGTTTCCTTCTTCGAACTCTCTTAAACATAGGTATGTATAAAAACACATATGTATTTATTTATATATGGCTAAAGTATTTAAATTGTTTTTAAACGTAATAAGGTTCATATTTTCCTCTGTACAGCATCCTGGGACTTGATTGTTGTAACATACTGAGATTCATCTAAACTATTGGGAATAGCTGTAACTTTTTCAGTTCACTGCTGTACAATATTCCACTTGTTATTTTTTTTCATTGTTTATTGGCACATTTTGGGTATACAATATGACATTCATCATTGGAAATTTGTACCTTTACATAATCTATCTTGATTCTTATTTTTTCCCCACTCCCTTGCTCTGTTCAACCTCTCCACCCCTCCCTATTTACACTTTGTTCCCATTTTTTTCATTTCTCATATTCCATTCCCTTCTTTCCTTTCCCCAACCCATACCACTTCCCCTTCCCCTTTGGACCTTTCTTCCTATTTCACATTATCAATTATACATTTCGAACCTTATCTACACTTTTAGTTTTTCACACCAGAGAAACTTCAGTATTTACACACATGCGTCCTATTTATTGCTCTTAAGAGTATGGCCTCAATGTGTGTCACCTGTTTATTGTGGATAGGTGTGTTTCTTGGTGCAAGCTTCTCCTCGATATCCCTTACTTTCCTGTCATTGGTATTGCTTTATTTCAGGTTCTCTTTCTCAGCATCTGTAGATTGCAACATGCTGAGATCTCCCTTCTTCTGATGCCAGCTGCTCCAATCTACTCTCTTTGTTGTTGCCAAGGGTTCTATCGAAGGTTGTTATTAGTTGCCTATTGTCTATAGAAAAACGTGAAACTATGTCTTACTAGCTTTTCCCCCTTTCTGGAATCCAACCCCGCTTTTGGTTTGTAAAGACAGGGTCTTGCTATGTAGTTCATGCTGGGCTTGAACTCACTATATAGCCTAGGCCGGCCTGCAACTCGCCTGTCTCAGCAAGAGTTACAGGTGTGTGTACCGTAGCCTGCCACCCGCATCCCATCATCTTCCCTCTGCCTTCACTTCCCCACTCTAGTTTCATCTTATGAGTCAGCAACATTAAAGCTACACTGATTCCTGTAGATACCACAGGACTGCGGGGACTCAATTGTATATGCTTCTTCTCCCAGCTCCTTTTCCTCTGAAGTGATACTGTCCTGAATTGAGTGTCTCTCATTCCTATACATTTCTTCAGACTTTCACTTCATATGTACCCTAAGGTAACATGCATATTGCTTTGCATGATTTGAAACTTTACATAACTGTTATCATGTAGACATGCCTTGTTTAACAGTTTATCTGGTTAACTGCTGTTCAGACTTAACAACTGAAGTGGGCTGTTTGGACTTAGGACCTGTCTTTCTGTTGTTGTTTATAGGAACTCAATGTCTTTTGTTGGTGCAGTACATCTTGTTTGTACATTACTGTAATTTTTGCTGATTGTACTGTACAATACAGTACTATAGTTTTATATTCTGGTATACATTACAGTATTGCATGTAAGAATTATGCAAATAAAAGCAGTCATCAAGCTGGAGTTTCCTTTGACCATTTTTTTGTTCTGAATATTGTAATGTACATAGTATATATAATTCTTCATTGAGCGACTAATCCAACTGATCTAGTTGCAGGGACATAATTTGGTTGTTAAACAAGGAATACCTGTATGTACTGTTTATTTCTTTTGTGTGTGTGGGGGGGTACTGGGGATTGCATTGAGGGACTTTGCCCTGAGCTATACCCCTGGCCTTTTAAATTTTTATTATTTTTTAAAATTTTGAGACAGGATCTAGTCAAGTGGCTAAGTTGTTCAGGCTGGGCTTGAACTTGAGATCCTGTCTCAGTCTCCTTGAGTACTGGGATTATAGGCATGCACCACCACACCTGGTTTTTGATTTGTATATTTTTACTCACTGTTTTAATAGTAGTGTCATTTTCTTATATCAATGCACGCTGATGTATGGGATTCAATTTGTCGACTTTTCCAGTTCAATAATATTCCCTTGTATGAATACATGATGGGTTATCTGTTTTCCTAGACATTTGTGATAGAAATTGAGCTTGTTTCCCACTTTTGCAGTGTTTCTTGAAAATCTCATACTGTCTCTTGGTGGACATGAATACAAGTTACTCCAGGGTTTATACTTAGATGTTGCTGTTTGTAAAGTAGGAGGTCTTAAGCATATTTCTTATTTTTTTCAGCCTCCGTTCGTCTTTATTTTTTTGAAGCAAAAGACTTAATGGTACATTTTAGCTATACATAATAACATTCATCGTAGAGAATCATTCGTCTTTGAAACAGTGATAATACTCCCTTCAAGATGTCCTGTGAAGCTGGGTGTAGTGGTGCACTCCTGTGATTCCAGTGCAATTGCAGGCTGAGGCTGGAGGATCACAAGTTTGAGCACAGCCTGGGCAATTAAGTGACTTAGTGAAATCCTTTCTTAAAACAAGTGAATCAACAACAATAAAAAAATGATTTTTTTTAAAAAAAGGGCTGGGCTAGAGCTCAGTACAAAGGCCCTGAGTTCAATCACCAGTTCTCAGGGGGCGGGAAAATTGCTGTGAAAATTGGACAATGTAAGCAAAGAACAATTTCAATCAATCAAACAGTTGTTGCTGTTAGAATGGCTTTTAAATGTGTATGGGACCCTGGGACATAAAAACAATAGTCTGGTGCTAGAATAGAGAAGTCTAATATGTGAGATCCTGTAGCTCCCACCCTACCTGCTGATTGTACACTCTGTCTACGGCTTGACCTTTACATCTCTGCCCATGCTGCTGAGATGGGCCTAAAATGAGCTCCCCTGGTTCCAAGTTTCCTCCTCCCTCCTTGTTTTCCTTTACCACTTTTTCTGAAGTCTACCTTGATTCCCCAGGCTGTACTGGCAAGATTTCCTCTTTGCCTCCTGTCTCTCTTTAAACTACCCTCTTAGGCTCCTCCCAGTCCCCTTAAATGCTCAATGTCTTGAAGACTCATTTTCCGTTTTATGCATCTTTGTATCTCGGGTCCTGATCATAATGTGATATGTGTGCTGGTAGGTGGTAGAATAAGTGAATTTAGGAATTCTTTAGAGGAAAGCAGATTGCAGCTAAGAATTCCTTAGAGCTAGAGGGAGAGAGAAGCAAGCATGCTATTTTCTTTCTCTTCTTTTGAGACAGGCTCTCACTATGTAGTTCAGGCTGGTCTTGAACTCATGGCAATCCTCCTGTCTCAGCCTCCCAAGTGCTGGGATTGCAGGCATGCCTCACCATGCCTGGCTGCTGTTTTCTTTTTAGATTTTCTTGTGGTGCTGGGGACCAGTTAAGTGCCCTACCACACAGCCATATCCTCAGCCTAATGCTGTTTTAGTAAGAACAGCGACCAGAGAGGATGTGAAGTTTGTTCAGTGATGGAATTATGCAGGACATAATGGGCTATTAAAGGAATATCTCATCCTGGACTGTGGGTGCTAGGTGTGTAAAAGAACTTCCTCTTGTGTCTCTCACAGTACTTAGGAAATGAAGGATGGACCAGCCAGTCAACATGCTCTGGAGTAGCGAGTTCCCTGGCCCATTTACTAGTGCTAAGAATTCAGATATTACTGTTCTAGGCAAAAGTTGGCAGACATTTTCCTATAAAGGTGGTCCTTTATAGTAAATAGTAATTATTTGTGGGTTTGTGGACCATGTGCTCTCTAGAGCAAATATTCAACTGTGCCTTTTTTTTTTTTGAGACAGAGTCTCACTATGTAGTTGAGACTGACCTGGCTGTCTATGTAGCCCAGGCTGGTCTCAAACTCACAGGGATCCTCCTGCCTCAGCCTCCCAAGTGCTGGGATTACAGGCATGCTCTACCACAGCCGGCAACTCTGCTATTTTTATAGTGTGAAACCAGGCATAGAAAATATGTAAACAGGTAGCAGGGTGTGGTGGTGAACGCCTGTAATCCTAGTACTTGGTAGGCTGAGGCAGGAGGATTGTGAATTTGAGGCCAGCCTGGGCTACATAGTGAGTCTCTGTCTCAAAACATAACAACAAAAAAGTAATAAAATAAAATTTGTAAACAAATGAGTATGACTTTTCTAATAAAATTTTATTTAGTTTTATATAATTTTCACTTGTCACATCACATTATTCTTTAATACCCCCTCGACCATTGAAGAAGACAAAACCATTCTTAGTTCATAGGCCTAAAGGATTCCTGTGGACCTTATCTTAAATGATCCTCAGCACCAGGTGCTAAGGAGGTCAAACCCAGGGATAAAGAATAAGCCTTAGAAGGCGGGGCGTGGTGGCACAAGCCTGTAATCCCAGCACTTGGGAGGCTAAGGCAGGAGGATCGCTGTGAGTTCGAGACCAGCTTGGGCTACATAGTGAGTTCCAGGTCAGTCTCAACTTCCAGGTCAGTCTCAACTACATAGTGAGGGAGACCCTGTC